TTTTTTTTTTTATACAATTCTTTTGAAGTTACAAATTATTAAATGTTAATTTCTTCAGTTTGCCCTAAAATTAAAACAACAAGTTGAACCCAAAAGTCAAGTGACCAACGAATCTTATTTACGGTAGATAATTTCTTACTATTTACTTACTATTTTGTATTTAAATTTGAAATTTATATTATTGTTGGAAACTTTGAAAAAATGTATAAAGTTCTTATAAATCTGTTTTAAATGTTTAGTAAGTATTATTTTTAATTGATTAAAAATTAAAATAAGAAAACGCTTTTTTAGGATTTTTTACGCATATGCCTCGCCTAAATTTGCCTAGCACTCGACTTCGCCTCTACACATCGTCACACACGCCTTTTAGAACACTGCCCTGAAATAATACACGTTTAATGGCTTGGGAGCCTCTGCACGCAATTGGTCATCAGCACAACGTGCCACTACTGCGGTGGCTCAGTTGTGTATATATCACCATTTTCCTTAGTCGCGCACCACTGCTTCCTTTCTGTCACCCCTTTTGGGTCCCAGAGATGGATCCACTTACTTACCTTAACGCTAATCAATATCCACCCCGTTCTCATCCCGTTAAAGAAACACGAGTTAGAATGTAATAAGCAGTTGCATAAAGGATGGCTAATATTAAAATCGAAAAAATACAGTTACATTATTGGAAAATTCTTGGTGTACATAGTATGTCTCCTTGTATATATATTATGTACACCAAGCACTTCCCTACATTATTTTATCGCTATTATTTGCACAATAAGTGTTCTGATAATAAAATCGTCTCCTTGTTAAATATAAATTATTTTTTTAAAGAAATCCATATTTTAAAACTTTTGAGGATTGATGATTAAACTTTGTAATCAATATGCAAAAGCCAGTATAGTTGTATCATTTGACTAGAAGAACTACATTGACACTTCCTCGTACAAATTGGTGTAGCTATTAAATTTTGAACCCATAATTTATAGTATTAGACAGAATAAGAATTCAAAATTACTATTTTCTTCTAAAATGTTATGTACTATTGGGTTTTGCTATATGTCAACTCAATGTATAATCCCCTCACAATAGGGGGTTCACGGATTTTTTATTGGATGTGAGCCCCCTCTTTTGTGAGGGGGTGTACACAGGGTGTCAATCTCGATGTACAAATAGCAAAATTGTGTACTATTACCTAATTTGTTTTATCAAACAAGTCTTGAATGATAATTAAGGCTCTCATAAAGTAAGTTGGAACATGAATGTGAGAATGAAAGGTTGAGAAGAACTGCTAAATTTTCACTTGGCAGTTCTTGGGTGGATGCTCAAGGTCGTGTCACTTCAATCCCGTTGAAATGGCAAATTTCGGGCCAATCTGTATCTCTATTCGTAGATCTTTTCCTAAAACTCCTACCAGCGGTGAGTGATCCCAACACAACGTTGACGAAGCATAAATTTAAGGAGAATTTCAATTCGTTCCCATTGTACTCAAACTCTAATGATAGCTTGGCTTGAAACTAAGTTTTGCTTCTATTCTTCTTTTTTTATCTGTAAATGTAAATTTTATATTGATCAAAAATCATTTACAAATATAAAATTTTAAAGTAATAAATTCAAAAATCAAGATTTTTACACTATGAAATTCTTTCTTACATATTAAACGGACAAGTATAAAAAGACAAATAAAAATAAAAGCCATAAACCAGAAGAAAGGTCAGTGATGTAAATATTGGAAACACCGAGGGCCTTAAGTTAATATTGAAAGGACAGTTTGGATGCAACGAGTACAGGAACAATAAGGCAATTCAGAGAACGCATTTATCATTCTCTCAGAATAAAAATGTCCTCCCTCTTAACAAACCCTTCTACATTTCTCAATCCAACGGTTCATACACATTTGCACCATGAACACACGCTTTTGGAGAGTTGTCCTTCATCATCAACCCCAGAATACTGTATCTTATTTACATATATATACACAGCTGTGCACACACTCACACGGAAACACAGACATAAAATGACGTAGACTCTCTCTGGCACTGATTCTTTTCTTTCTCTACATTCCATATCATTTGCCCTCTGGTTCTCTTCTCACCCATTCAATTTCAAGTAGAAAAGTATAATACAAGTGGAAATACATATATATATATATATTTCTTTATATCTTTGGTTTCAATTTGTTGGGATCGCGGAAGTTGAAGATTGGATCAAGAACTCCCGTACTCGAACCCTCAGGTCTTCATTTTCTTTTTCATAAAACGAGGGATCATTTCTCGATATTCCACACTCTTTTCATTTTTCAACGAAAGACGACGTACGGTTTATATTTTATATTTTCGTTTTTTCCTGTTGTATTGTTTTGCAGATAAGACGGGGGTTGAGGAGGGAGTAATTACACAGTTACTTTTAAGCAAAATTGAAGGTAAGAATTTCCTTTCATTTTTGTTTCCGTTCTTTTTTGTTTTTTGTGTTTGTTGTTGTTCGTTTTGAATGGGAAATGAAGTTTGGCTAAAGATAAGTAAATATTTTGACGTTTGAATTCATTTTGGTTCTTGTACTTGTTTTTTTCTTGTTTTCTTTTTTAATTTTCCTTCTGAATCTGATTTACCTTATATATAAAAATGAATGCCTGGATTTTGAGTATGAATTTATTGAATTCCTATGTCGGCTTCTATATGCTAAGATTTATAATTGCTTCTACACTCTTCTTTAATTGGTCGCATAAAAAATTCGCATTTTCTTGTACCAGTATGGTTATTAGTAAATTACGCAAATCTCAATAAAAAAACTCAAAATTCGAAACCGTGCATATTTTAGTTACATTTGAAGGTACCCATTTTTTAGATTTCTCAGGCTTGTTAAAGTTCAAATAATTGATGATCTTGATGACTAATGATGTGTTAAGTAGTAGTGAAGGGGAGAAAAATGTCATCATCATACACTGCATGTGCGGCATGCAAGTTTCTCCGGCGAAAGTGCACACAGGAGTGCGTGTTTGCGCCATATTTTCCGCCCGATAACCCTGAGAAATTCAATAGTGTTCATAAAGTCTTCGGCGCCAGTAATGTTTCAAAGCTCCTCAATGAAATCAATCCCAGCCAGCGCGAGGATGCCGTAAATTCCTTAGCCTATGAGGCGGCGTATCGCCTTCGTGATCCGGTGTATGGCTGTGTTGGCCTTATTACCATGTTGCATCACAATCTCAGGCAAGTGCAGCATGATTTGTACAACGCCAAAAATGAATTGGCTCAATATATTGGGCCTTCTGAGATGTTGCCAAATATGAACCAATCAGGAATTATGCATCAGCATCCAAACTTTGGGGCCTCGTCGTATCAGGTGATGCCGTATAATATGCAGATAATGACAGGTCAGCCGGTGGGACTTCCACACGGGGCGCTGGTGATCCGGGACCCTCAGCAGCTGCCACCGCCACAGCAGCAGCCACCTCCACAGCAGCAACAGATTCTAGAGGCACAGCAGTTAGCTCTTCTGGCGGCCGCCAGGGAGCAGGAGATGTTTAGGAATTATGAGCAGCAGCAACACCAGCAGCAGAATGATTTAGTGAGATTTAACAATGGCTTTGATACTGCAGTAGGGACTGTCACCGCCACAGGATTTAATCAAATGATTCCGGCCACTGCTGCCGCCCACATGCCGCCTGCCTTGGCCTTGGGTTCTTATGAAGGCAACCCTTACGGTCATCACATTCAGCAGCAGGCGGTGGAACAGTCACATTATCATCACCCTCGCCAGCTCGAGCTTTTTCCACGCGAACTTTTACCCCAGCAACAACAGCAACAGAATGCTACTCTTCATCATCAGGCACAGCAACTTCGAACATCACAGCCACAGAGAGCGAGTAGGGAAGAGGGCGGGAGTTTTGATCCTTGATGTTAATTCAAAAAGCATCTTGTCCAAAATCAATGGCCCAGTGCCCTCTGAGCTTTATTCTTTCAACAAACTATTGATCCAGGTATACCTTCTCCTCAGTTTCTGTCCATACGGTGACGTTTTCTTCCCTCATCTAGAGCATGTTTGGCTATGCATAAAAGAAGCTTCTAATGCCATGTTTCAATATCCATAGTATAAAATAAGAAAAATAATTTAAAATCTTAGTTGCGTGTTTTGCGTCCGTGCACTTGAGGGGATTATCTTTTCTTGTTCACGTGTGTCTGGGTGGTGATGGATGATTACTCCTTAGCATTAATGTTGGGGAGATTTGGCATTGTCTCTCTTAACATGAACAGGGTTATATCCCAGCTGAGAGCAGCGGAAAGGTCGGTTATTAGAAATTGTCTTTTCACTGCCCAGACACGTCACATTCAGTAATCATAACTCCTATTAACCCTAACTGCCCTTCTCAGTGGAAAGGTTGGTTTTTGCATCTCATTCAGTATATGAAATGGGTAGTAATAATTAATAAATGCATCAAATGTGTTTTCAAATATTGGTTTTACATGAAAAAGTAATTGGAATAAACTAATATTTTTTTGGCCGTTACCGATGTGCATATGGTTACCCCTCCGAAGACCCCCAAAAGAATGTTTAATTAGGATTCATGTTATCAGATCTTGATGAAGTTTTACATCGAATACATAGAAAAAGAAAAAGACTGAAAATTATAGAGCAAATTTATGCCTAGAATTGGACAAATTGGGAAAAAGTGGATTTTATGTTTGAATGCATTAAAAAAACAATAATATAAGGTTATTTGGGCGTTTTTGAAGACACTATAGTCTAATATTGTTTGGTCATTTTATACTTAAGATTTTGCTACTTGTACATCAAAATTGTATATAAGGAAGGGATTACATAATATGACGTGGAGGGAAAATGTTGGATGAAAAAGTTGACCTTATTTTATACTTATGCAGCGGTAGTGTCAATATCAATGCGCAATGTAGGCTGTCTGGCCTGTGAAAATAAAAGGAAGGTTGTGCTCTTTTTGATCCTTTCCCCATTTTTTTTCCTGTCTTAATTGGGCATTGAAGAATTGAGGTAGCTGGAGTAGTCTATAAACATACTGTGGCTGTTGAAGTTCAATTTTATTCTAATTTATTCTTCTTCTTTTTTTGTATGCTTTTTCTTGCAGCAAATTCATGGTAGAGAAGATAGAGTTGCAACCCATCCGAGAGACTTAATTAGTTTTCTTTTACTAGCTTTTGGGTTTAAAGGAGACAAGTTTTTGTTGATTTCAACAATAGTGTTGTTCTCTTTGTGTTTACATTTTCCCATTTTTGCATGTTGTGACTTTGTTGTGGAGTGTAGAATGTGATTCCAATATTTCCTTTTATATCACTAGCTTTATAATTTTTGTTCTGAAGAGTTGGAAAAAATTTTAAAAAATTTGTATAACAATTAGGAGGTCAGATTTCAGCAGAGTCTGTGGATTCGAATCTGGCTTAATACTTACTCAATCTCAAGTCGATGACTTAAAAATTTGGAATTGAATGGCTCAATAGTATTTGACTGTTTATCATGAAGTATTTATGAGAGCAAGTGCTACTCGTTATCCACTGCTTGTCTTGAAAATCTATTGTTGGTTAAAACTTGGTCAAATTTTAATTTGATTAGAATCACAACTTTGATCAATATTTTCAATGAATCCAGCAGTTTTTATCAACTTTTAACAATATCATACAAACTCTTAGAATAATTTTATTTATCATTAATATGATAAAATATCGGTGATGTGGCAATTTATATGGAATAATGGAATTATACAGTTCAATTTTTTTTGAAAGAGATGGAGGAAATAGAGAAAAGTGTGAAGGATAATGGTTTACCATATCACCGATATTTCATCATTTTTTATTGGCTATTTTTTTTATTCATACTAATAATATTTACAATTACTTATTTTATAATTAGAATAATTATTCTAGCACGACTTGGATCCCTTCAAAGAATGATCCAGTTATTAAAAAAGTTGGGATGAACATGAAATGGGCAAATGAAATTAGCAGTAACATATTCAATCATCATTCAAGCACAACCAAATATTTCATCAAACTGTTTCTAGTTCTTCAGATTAACTTATAACAGAAGAAATTAGAGATTCAAAAAAGTCTGATAGCCTCTCATTGACGAACTGCAGCCTCAAAATAGACAAGAAAAACTCGCTACGTCTATGAACATTGCATTTTTTGTAGTTTAATTTTATGATTTCGATGATTCTCCTATGTTTATATTTGACAATTCCGGGATGTAGCTGCCTGTACACGTCCCTCAACTGTACTTTGAACCTGAACCTTCCAACTATGGAATTCCGACTTTTCATCCTCATTTTCTTCCACACTGTCACCACGAGTGACTGATTCCCCCTTAGCAGATCCTCCCAGGTGCAAAGGGCATTGTGGGGAACCATAATTCACAGTACTTTTCTTCGAGCAATCTGATGGACTGGTTGATGAAGTTATAAGCTTTCTGATATGAACCCTATATTTCTGAAAATACACCAAAAATGTATAATCAAATCGTTCCATTGCCATATATACGAAGCAAAATGATTCTTTTTCTCGACTAGTTGTATACCTGCAAATGGCTTTTGATTTCATCGTTGGTAAGGCCATCCACTTTCATAAATTCTCTTATCTGCTTTGGCGTAGCTGCTGTAACATGAACAAGATTTTAGCTTATTTTCTTTTTTATTATCGTCGAAACTTCAACATGTCAAAACAAATGAACGAACAAATAAATGAAAATTAGGACACAGAGGATAATGGTCCTCCTTCACCTTGTGCTCCACCAAGCTGATGAAGAGCATTGACAAAACTCTTATGCAAGTCTGGAGACCAACAGCGTCTCTGTTTCCTCTGTTGCAGTTGAGACCTCGCATGACCAAAATTCACTTTCGAACTCAAATCAAACGATCCCACTTTAGCCACAGGAATTGACAGTGAGAGGGCTTCAACTGGGATAAATCCTTTCTCTTCCTTCACTGGTTTCTTCAGATTACACAAAATCCCATCCTCTTCTTGGCAACTCTGCAACCGAAAATCACATTCAATGGAGATTTCTTGGGAGAAAAGAAGAAAAAATGGTAAATTACTTTTAAAATCTTACTGATTTTGGGTTCAAATCAGATTCTTGATTTGTGGTATCAAATTTATTCTCCAACTCAAGAGGTGTGCTCCAGAGTTGAAATGAACTCATCCAATTCTTCTTTTCATTCCAATCATTTGACCTTTTTGCCCCTTCATGTTCTTCTGAATCACTCTTCATTGGTATAAATTCCTCCATTACTGGCCTCGCCTTTTCTTTATTCCGTTGCAACCCTTCCTCAGTCAAGCTCTTAATTGCTACCCAAAAAGTTCAATCACTCAAAACATCTCAATAAATAAATAAATAATCCAATAAAAATGTAAAAGAAAAATAATTGTACCTTCTTTTAACAGGTTCATGCAGAGAGGAAGTTCACGTTTGAAAGCATCGATCTTTCTCAATTCTTCTTCCAATTCTTGGACATGAAAATCCAGCTTCAATTTCTTGGAAAAGCCATAGATTTTTGATAATTCCGTATTTCCCCACACCATATTCAAACTTTTATCTCTAGTTCTGAATTTTTATGTGCGTGTTTTATAATTTTACATAGCCCAGATAAACACGAATGAAGGATGGGGTGAGAAGTCTGATTTATATGTGTACAGTGGGGTGTAAAGTGAAAAGAAATGGCATGTGGGTAAGTACGAAAATAATCAATGGTTTTAATGGTTTTCACACGTACGAGTCGTCGCATAATGCGATTCTGGGTGTCTCAGTCAAATCAAATGTGAGACTAAAGCAAGATAGAATCATCATCTTTTTCTTTTTCTCTTTTTTCGCAAATTATATTACCACTACCAATTTTAATTATTACACCACATTATAATAACACCACAATTAAAATATATTTTTATTAAATACACCACAATAAATTTACAATTATACTCCTAATTCAATAAAAACAAAAAATTGAATAATAATAATAAAAAAAGAAATACAATATTGTAGTGTATTTATCACCAATATCAATCCTCATTTTTTCAACTTTTCCCTCGTTATTTCACAGTCATCAGAAAAGGAAGATAGGAAGGTTTCTGTTCTAAACCTTAATAGGCTAAATGTGCCTACTGGGAAAATGATACACCTATTATTTGTCAACATCTCAAATGCTAGTAGCTGTCCTTCAGGACCATTGAGGTGAGTATTCGACCGTAAACTTCAGGATCGTGTGGAATTAGTCGAGGTCCTCGAAAGTTGGTTCGGACATCCACGATTATTAAAAAAAATGCCAATAGTTATTACTTTGATGTTTTCTATAACTTGAGGCAGCATTGAAAATGGTGGCAACTGTCGTTTTCCCAGAGGTTTATTGCCATGGTTCTTTGAACTTATTCACTTACGTCTTGGTAATTGTGATGAGGAACTTTTCTATTGTTAATTTACTTGAACAACATGGATCTATGAAACAGTAATGGGAATGCAATCTATGCACTTGGAAGAATCTTCTGTTTGCAATTAACTGCTTTTTAAGAGGATGGAAGAAATATTGTCAACAAAATAGACTTAAATGCATTCTCAATTTTTGACTTGGAATAGACAAACTTCAAAAAGTTCATCTCTTTTAAAAAACTGGTTGCACAGTATCATTTGTTTAAAAAATTATATTCTAAAACGTCGGCAATCTCATTAGTGATTATGTTTTACTATACATTTTGGGAACTTGGATCAATGCATTCAAGGCGTCTTTCTTACATTTTTTTGATGAACTATCATTATATGTGATGCTTTCTATTATTAATTATTTATGTTGGTTTCTGGTCTCAACCTTAATAGGAATGTTCAAAATCTTTACTTCCATTGTGCTAATATTATTTGGATCTCGTTTTTTCAAAGTCATGAATATGTTCCTAGGTTTTACCTAACTTTTTTACATATCTATTAAAATATGCTCCTCTTCATTAGTTAATCGTTGTACATGAGGATGTCTTTCTAAATGTTGTGCCATTGAATGATTATGTAGTCCACATAACACCTTTAACATCCGATCGTCCTCAATCGACAATTTCACATCGTTTAAATCAAATGGACATTCACAATTATGTGTTCCAACATACCTATTTCATTTCGGTTCATGATCTGAATGATTATTACATTTTTTCATATTTTCCACTATTCTCACATCCATAGCGTATACAAGGCTTGCGTCCGTAACCACCATGCTCAAAATGTGTTATAACAATAACCAAACCAAATTTCTTCCCAACCATACAAACCCAATTACTTAATGACTCTCGACTATGGAATACCTACACAATCAATATTAAAAAACTATAATTTAAAAAATTGTACCTAGAGTTGAATTAATAGACATAAATTTAATACTTGCTTTATTCATACTTGGTCAGTACTGAAATTTTGCGTATAATCATATTATTGAAGTTGTCATAATTTTCCTGACATTTAGAACAAATAAAATTACATTATGATAAGTTATGAAAAATTAAATTTATTACGATCATGCAAAAAATACAATATTAACAATAGAAACTTACTTCTTGTTGACTAAGAACAACTTCAGAGAATTTAGATGAAGTCGTAGTGTCAATAGTTGCATCCAATATCATTTAACTCAATACACAAAAGATAATGCATGCACGGAAATTCATAGACCTACTTGCACGCAAATTTATGGACCTACATACAAACGAATTACACACAAATTCATGGACCTACATACACACGAATTCATGGACCATTATGACTAGTGTAGTACATACGAATAGCTCATTGTGTATGTCTCACGTAATGAATACACACAAATTCATAAACACATTTAACAATTAACAATCCATTTGGCACCCATTTTTTTCTCATTCTNATTCATAAACACATTTAACAATTAAAAATTATCATCTTACATACAATCTGACAAACGAAATAATCATACTTAAATTCACGCAAATTCAAAGTAAATTGATACGAAGCATACTAAATAATAAATTGAAAATAATCGTATTAAATTCATAATAACTTTGTTCGAATTAATAAAAAAAATCAGAGTCTTAATTTTCAATCTTGACAAATAAATTGAAAAAAATTCATCTGTAAATTATGATCAAATAGAGTATAAATTCATTTACCGTGAGGAAAATAAATTTATCTTGCCACCGTTGAAGAAAGCAAAAACCATCGAAATAGCTATGAGCAAAGAGATGTTAAGGAAAAAAGAAAGAAAGAAATTAGGTTTTATATTTGTGATGTAACAATAATTTATTTAATTAAAAAGTATATTCAAACTCTAATTATGTAATTTTATTTAATGATATTTAAGTAAATAAGAAAATTGTAGTGCACTTAATAAAAGATAAAAACGCCCTTAAGTAT